TTTAGGAGATTCGGGTCTTATCACCCGGATGCATGCAGATGGCATGGGCTATAGCACACGAAAATCTAAAAAATCGGACGGAATTCCAATTTTATGGCCCTAAAACGGCAAAAACTGAGAAACGATCATGAAAAAGTGATGACTATTGTTCTTAGGTCATTTTTTATGGGTCGACAAAATTTTAAGCGATTAGGGTCCGGTCGCCCGAATGCATGCAGATGGCGTGAGCAATAATACACAAAAATTTGACGAATAGACAAAATTTTAGTTTTATGACTCTAAAACGCCAAAATATGAGGAAAAGTCATGGCGAGGCGATGATTATGGATCTTAGGTCATTTTTATGAGCCTGTAAAATTTTAGGTGATTCGTGTCCGGCCGCTCGGATGCATGTAGATGGCGTGGACTATATAGCATACGAATATCTAGAAATCGGGCGGAATTTCAGTTTTATAGCCCTAAAATGCCAAAAATGAGGAACGGTCTTGGTGAAGCGATAACTATTATTTCTTAGGTTATTTTTTATGGCCCGACAAAATTTTAGGTGATTCGGGTCCCGTCGCCCGGATGCATGCACATGGCATGGCCTATAACGCCAAAAAATAATGAACGTTCATGGCAAAGCGATGACTATTATTCCTTAGGTCATATTTTATGGCCGATAATTATAGGCGATTCGGGGCTGGTCGCCCGGATGCATGTAGATGGCGTGAGTTATAGCACACGAAAATTAAGAAATCAGGCGGAATTCCAGATTTATGGCCCTAAAATGTCAAACAATGAGGAATGGTCATGGTGAAGCGATGACTTAGGTCATTTTTGGTGGACCGACAAAATTTTAGGTGATTCAGTTCCGGTCGCGCGGATGCTTGCAGATGGCGTGGACTACATGGGACCAAAATATTTAGGCGATTTAGAGCATGCTGCCCTAAATCAGGAAGATATCGTGGACATTAGCACACGAAAAATTAAAAGTCGCCATGAATTAATGTTTTATGGCTCGAAAGTGCTAAAAATAGGGAATGGTCATGGGAAACAATGACTGTTGTTCATTTGGTCGTCTCTGATGTGCCCATAAAATTTTAGGCGATTCGCAACCCGTCGCTCGAATTCATGAAGATAGCGTGGACATTAGCACATGAATAATTAGAAATCATCTTGAATTCCTGTTTTATGGCCCTTAAACGCCAAAAAATAAGGAACAATCATAACGAAGCGATAACTATTGTTCATTAAGCCGTTTCTGATAGGCCCATAAGCGATTCGGAGCCCGTTGCCCGAATCCATCAAAATTGCATGGACATTAGCACACGTAAAATTGAAAATCTTCCTGAATTCTTGTTTTATGGACCTAAAACGCTTAAAAAGAGGAATGGTGACGGTGATTAGGTTATTTTTATGGCCCATAAATATTTGCGAATCGGAGACTAGAGTCCGATTTCATGAAGATGGCGTGGACATTAGCACACAAAAAATTAAAAATCGTCGTGGATTCCTATTTTATGGCCCTAAAACGCCAAAAACAAGGAACATTCATGACGTAGCGATAACTATTTTTCATTAGATCGTTTCTGATGGACCCAAAACATTTAGGTGATTCGAAGCGTGTCGCCCTAATTCATGAAGATGGCAAGGATATTAGCACACGTAAAATTAAAAATTATCCCGAATTCCTATTTTAGAGCCCTAAAATGCCAAAAAGCAAGGATATGTCATAGCAAAGTAATGACTATTATTCAGTAGGTCGTTTCTGATGGGCCTACAAATATTTGTGATTCGGAGATCGTCGCCCGAATTTATAAAGATAGCATGGACATTAACACACGAAAAATTAAAAATCGTCGTGAATTATGTTTTATGGCCCCCAAAATAGGAACAGTGACGACAAACCATTGATTATTTTTCATTAGGTCGTTTATGTTGGGCCCAAAATATTTAGGCGATTCAGAGCCCGTCACCCTAATCCATGAAGATGGTATGGATATTAGCACACAAAAAATTAGAAAACGTCCTGAATTGCTATTTTATGGCCCTAAAATGCTAATAAAGAACAGTCACGGTGAAGCAATAACTGTTGTTCATTAGGTCGTTTCTGATGGGCCCACAAAATTTTAGGCGCTTCGCAACCCGTCACTCAAATTCATGAAGATAGCGTGGACATTAACACACAAATAACTGGAATTCATCTTGAATTCCTGTTTTAAGGCCATAAAATGCCAAAAAATAAGGAACAGTCATGGAGAAGTGATGACTATTGTTCATTTGGCCGTTTCTAATAGGCTTATAAAATTTTAGGCGATTCGGAGCCGCTACCCGAGTTCATCAAGATTGCGTGGACATTAGCGCACGTAAAATTAGAAACCGTTCTGAATTCCTGTTTTATGGCTCTTAAACGCCAAAAAATAAGGAGCGATCATGACAAATTGATGATTATTGTTCATTAGGTCGTTTCTGATGGGCCCACAAAATTTTAGGCGATTCGGAGCCCATCGCCCGAGTTCATAAAGATGGTGTGGATATTAGCACACGAAAAGAAATCGTCTTGAATTCCTATTTTATGGCCATAAAACGCCAAAAATGAGGTACAATCATAGCGAAGCAATGACTATTTTCTCTTAGGTCGTTTCTTATGGGCCCAAAAAATTAGGCGATTCGAAGCCCTTCGACAGAATTTATGAAAATGGCGTGGACATTTAGCCCATGAAAAAATTAAAAATCATCTTAAATTCCTATTTTAGGGACCTTTATAAGAAATGATCTTGGTAATAACTGATAAGCAATTAACCGGAGATCACTTAAGCGATCATAAATAATACATGGATGATTTTTGCATAACACATAAGCGATTTATGATTTTACCAGTATCTCTCACTTTATAAAAAAGTTGAAAGTTACTCCGGATAAATCATGTCCTTAATAAATTAATAGAAGTCTTGCTTCAACAAGAAAAAAAAAGAGCAGATCCAAGAATACATATAAGAGGATTTAGAAAAAATATTAGGACGTCACATATAAGCTTTAAAAACTGAGGAAAAGTAAATTTTGAACCAAAATCTTCTCTTAGGTTAAGGAGATTCAATATTTTATATATTACCAAAAGAATGTGTTTTTCTCCTAATTGCGTAGTATAATTTTGAAATGGGGTGTCAATGCCAACAAACCAACAATTAGGTGCATTTATTCTGCAGTCTTGAACGAGCTAGTACTCAGTTTGATTGTAAAGTCGTACTGATTAATAATGTTTTTAATAGTAAACTACTATTTTCCTTCTTCATTTATAACTGCACTAATTATAGTAGGTTACAAATTAACATATGCAGTTATCAGTTGAAAAAGCTTTAAAGCCAAACGTAGACAGTGGGTAGCCTGATCAAAATGACATGCTTCAAAATAAAGAAAAAAAAGTGATTTGTTAAAAGAGGTATAATATGGATGTTGTGTTTTAATAAAAGGAGGTAAAAGGATCAAGAGTGAAAATAATAGGAAGAAAAAAATGAATAGGGCCCAACCGGGTTCGAACCGGTGACCTCTTGATCTGCAGTCAAATGCTCTACCACTGAGCTATGGACCCTGAATGGTTGAGTAAAGCTGTTTTACTTAATTTATCAGCTTTAGCAAAAGAATTTGGCAAGAGTCAGAATTTTCAACTTTTAAAGTTTCCTAACCATCTTTTCCCCATAAATTAAAATTCAACGCAAAAATAATTTTCAAAAATGAAAAATAGAGTAGTGACATATTTACACCACAGCAAGAGACCTAATTTTCTATGATGATGTCAAAATTTGCACTTGATTTTATCCATTTAGTAAAATTGTCGGCTTACGAATATAACTTTGGTCCTTCTAGTGACGTCAGAAGTCGTTTTGACATAATATTTTATCTTTTTGTAGTTTTACTTATTAGGTCATTAATAAATAAATAAATAATATATATCTCTACTAGCTACAAAATTTAAATACAAGAAAGAAAAAAGAGATTTTCATATATGACATGACACCAGAAGATAAGCTTTACATACTAACAAACAAGGAGAAATGTTCAAATAAGCTAACTTGTATTGTTTGAATTTGACATGGACAAGTAAACTTATTCAACGACTTGTTCCAATGTTAAAGAGGACAGTTCAACCATTCTAGTTGCTACTTTCCAACTACTTCCTAAATATAACTCTGAATAATTGTCTTTCTGTACTCTTTATTCAATTATTATTCCACACTAAAAAGGTCAATCCGATGCACAAAGTTCACGCAAGGTCCGGGGAAAGGCCGCACCCCAAAGGGTGTAATGTAGGCAGCCTACCCTGATACAAGCATCACTGGCTGATTTCACGGCTTGAACCTGTAACTTATAGGTCACATAAAAACAACTCAAATGTTGCTCGAGGGCTCCCTTTCCAACTATTATTCTACACTCATATTCATTCTTCACTTCTAAACAATTGCTCATTTCTAGAACCTTGAGAAAGATACATATCTCACTGACCTAAGGATTTGGTATTTTGAAAGTCAATAACAACAACATACTCATACTCAGTGAAATTCCACAAATAAATCTAGGGAGGATAGTGTGTATGCAAATTTTACCCCTACTTTATGATACCGTACAATAACGACTGCAGTACACATTATTAGTCTGTGACTGTAAATGCAGTTCTAGATAATGATCTCCAATGTCCACTTACAATGTGAACATAAGAAAATGCCGCTATAAATATCTCATATCCCAAGTATGAAATTGGTGAATAATGCACCCGTCCCTTGACTGTTCTTCATTTAAATACCAGGCTTTTCTATGCAACACGGTTTGAATCCATAACGTATGCATAACTCACACATTTTTCTATGCAACACGGTTTGAATCCATGACGTATGCATAACTCACACATCAAACACTGCTCTTTGTATCATCTTTCAAGAACAACTTGTATTAGGGCCAATTTGCTAAATAAGTTTTGAATAAAAAACCAAAAAAGACAGATAACCATATCCAGAACACAAAACAAAAGAGAACTGGTTTTACTTTACTTTTATATATGCAAAAGCCTGCTATAATACAAAACGGTTTGTAACATTAGTCTGCAAAGGAAATCACAGCTCCTTTACATCACATATATTGCCTATACACATATCATATAATTGCCTATCTATAGTAGCACCTTCAATTGAACAAACTATTCAGTATATTTTTCTCTGCAAAAATGTCCAGGAGAGAGATGGCCTGCAAAACCAAACAATACAATTTTTTCATGTTAAAACAAAGGTCTATGCTTCTATACATGGAGACCATAAACTCTCTATCTATTATAATTTTAAAAAAAAAATTGGTTTTCAAGAAAATAATAGTCACCTCTGGAATGTTTAATTCAAGGCGGAACTTAGGACCGTCGTAATGGTGAAGGATTGGCCTGAATGAGTCCTCTTCAAGTGGTTCACAAATTTTCCTTGTCACAACGCGCACCTATACGCAAATAGACGAAAGTAAGCAAGTCTTAATACATAAACCAGGAACCTTATTCAGTCTGATTTCAATTCATTTTTCAGTTAATTAATCACAAATATATTCATCCTTAATCTGGTAAATGAAATAAATATGATAGGATGAGAGAGAGATTATCCTTATGGTAGGAGTCAGTTGCTGAGCCAGAAATTCTAATAAGGGAATTTGAAAAAATGCGAGATGTCACACCCGAGATTTAAACCTATGACCTAAAGCAATTCTTAGACCACATTTGCCACTATATTAAAATATTTCCTTATATCAAGGAGATTCAACAATTTATATATATGCAAAAAAGTTGTTATGTTTTTGTCTAGTTTTGTCCCTACCATTCGAATATCTAATGAAATTCTGCACAAAAAGCTAATAGCATTTGTTAACTCTTCTTACTTGAGCAGGAAAGCGCGATTCACCAGGGTTCTTCTTGTCCTCCCACGCTGTAGGATCAATATTGGACCCACCAAAGCTCGCAGCCTATACAATCAATTCATGTACTCGTTAAATAGCAACGCAAAAAAAGGGAAAAGATCTTAACACTGCAAGATTGAGAGATTTACAATAAAGACACAAACCTCAAATATCCCATGAAGCTGGTGGGTTGAGTAGTTGTAGAGGAAAAGAGGCAAGCCGGGTGTTATTTGGCGAACTGAATCCCTGTAACGAGGCGGCAAGCCTGAAATATAGTAGGAGCAGATATAAGAAAAACATCAATTCTTACCTTCTTTTTATTGTGCGGGCTGATGAATAACTAGAATTGTGGAACTACGCAGATACATTGGATCAATCAACGACAGCTCAATCTCAAATTAGTCGGTGTTGACTATATAATCCTTGTATTCAGACCATAAACAGTATTTGGAGAATTCATCTTAGTTAAAACTATTTTTATGCTGGCGAATTTGAGACCAGCTTTATTTTGCACTACTCATATTCTTTAACCGGGAATACAAGCCGTGGGAGTTTGAAATGTGTCCTTTACTACTTCACGTGTTCGATCACTACAAACCAATATTACCAGATTAAAGGAAACCTAAATCATTCTATTTCTCTAGAGAAACAGAACATCAAGAACTTCAGAAACATTCCTATGTTCAATTATCTACTGAAAACATCATAGTAGAAATGCAAGCTATAATTATCAAGACACAAATTTGCTATCAAACAATTTCAATAACAGAATACAGAGAAATTGAATCTGACCAAAAACTGCTTCATTAACTCTTCAATAATCTACATCAATTTGCTACTAAGCATACCTATTAAAACTAGGAAACTCAATCAATATATCAATTAATCAACTATGCCTCAATCTCAAAAACAGTTTGTCAGCTATATGCAGTGGCGGAGCCACATAGCTCCAAGCTTCGCCGAAAAAATACACTATTTAGAAAGGTAAAAAATAGTATTTTTAATGTATATATACTATGTATTGAATCCCCTTGAACTTTTTGTGTATTTATTTTTAAAAATTTTGACCCCCGCTTAATAAAAATTCTGGCTCGGCTACCGGCGATGTAGGTCATATGTATCAGTACAGCCAAACTTAATTGCAGCTATTTGCAAAAATCACAACTTTAAACTACAACATCCAACTGAGAGAAAAACAATGCAGAAAAATCAAGAAATAAAAGCAAAAAAATAAAATAAAATAAAATAAAATATGAGAATAGAAATATAGAATACTAACCAAAGAGCTCCCTTTTGAGATTCTCATGCATAGTATCATTGTTGCAAACAAAAATATATCCACCAACTGTTTCATTTCTTGGTAATGACTCTGATGCTGGCAATGTCTTGAACCTCTTCTCTACACCAATATTCTTATTCTCATCCTTGTAATTACTCTCTCTATTAATCTTGTTATTATTTTTCTTGCCAAATTTATTTACAAAATAGCCATTTTCAACCTCATAACCAAATTTTCCACTTTTCTTCATAACCCCTTTTGAATTCAAAACAATATTGTTATTGTTATTGTTATTGTTATTTTCACTACTACCCTTACTACTACTACTGTAACTGAAATTCAAAGGGTTTGTGTAAACCCCTTTATTGCTAAAGAGATTGTAATCTGAATTGAGATTTTTTGTTGGAATATTAGAACTAATAACAGAATTTATAAGCTCACCACCAACTCTAATATCAAAGTTTCTTCTTTCTTCAGGCTTTTTTGATACATAATTGTTGCTCCAAATTGAATCATTTGAAGACAATTTTGCTAAGTTGGTTGTTTGTAAACGAAGCTTATCACTGAATTGATAGAAAGATGATTGAGAATTCTCCATTTTTGACACTTTTTGCCTATACCCCAAATGATATTTTTGTATAAAAATTCAATCTTGGAGTAAAAGATGAAGGCTTTTCTCAAATACCAAGAAGAGAAATTGTCTATAAAAAATTGAAATCTTGGAATAAAGGAGTGAACTTTAGAGACGAATGGTATGAGATGATAAAGAAGAGAAATTTTATAGTATAAAGATTGAATCTTGGTCTATGTAGGAGTGATTACTTTACTTACAGGGAGAATAAAATAGGGGGAGGTTGACGCGGTAGAGGAAATTTCGCAGAAATGGAATTGGGAAGAGAAAACTTAGTCGTGTTTTTTTCACACTAATCCAAGAATAAATATCGGGTGTAAGTATTAAGTAAGTTTTACTGTCAAAAAAATAAAAATGAAAACTTTAAAATATGTAATAATATTACTTTGGTCTTAAATGTATCATAATATTTATGAGATTATAAAAAAATAATTATCAATTAGGATAACACGAGAAATTTAAATTAAATTATTTTTAAATTTAAGAGGTTATTGTTCTCTTTTAAACATATTAGGAATGAAATTCTGTCACATAAGTCAAACGGACAGAGTACTCAGTATTATTTAATTATTATTAATTAATACAATTTTATACTTTGATTTAATCACCTAATCATATTAAACTAGTATAAATATATCATGTGCTTTACATAAATTATTATTACATAATTATCAATTGATATACATTATGTTGTAATTTTATTACTAATATTAATTAGTCTAAACACCTCATAAAATTTACTTTTTTGATAAATAAAAGGTCTTTAAATAAATAATATGGAATGAATAGTTCACTTTGGTGTGGGGTTATTTTAGGTGAGCTAATTAAAGAGTGGTGATGGCAAAAACGCGGTTTAGAGAGAAAAAGACACATTGAAGTTGAATTTTTCCCATCCTCAAAACAGAAAAAGGAAAGAAGAAAAAAATAGAAAAGGAAGATAAGAAAAGATAAAAATGTAGACGTCATATATTTATAGGTTTTAATTATAGACAACGAAAAATCGTATAAAGAATATTTACATTATATTATCAAGTCATTTTACTTGTTATAAATTATTTTTTTGATCATAAATTTCACCTTTTATGGTAGGTTACTTGTAAAGATTGTTTGAGTAATTTGATAGTGCAAGTATTAGAACTATAAGTATATATAAATTAAAGTTCTTGTTATTTAATGTATGCATAAGTAGTTGGAGTGTACCATATACCTATTTGTTAAATGTGAAGTAGTTCGACATTAAATTAAATGTGACAAGTTTTAATACTACGAGATTCAAATGATATTTTTCATATGTTATACACACTTTAATTTAAATCACAAGATTTAAAGTTTCGTTTAAAAGTTCGACATTAATACTACGAGGACTGTTTGTGGACTTGAAATTAGTGGCCTACTCTCCATTAATATGAACCCATATTTTTCTTTGACTTTTTGCACGTATGATGGATTTTTCTGGTTTTCAATCTCGCGTACGCATTGGGTAGACTAACTCGCATTCGCATCGAGAAATCTCGCTTTTGGTATAAAGTGCTCCTTTTCAAAGACGGCTCCATACTCAAAGCTAAAATTTGAGACCCTTAGTTAAAGATCAGAAAGTACTTACCGCTCCACCATATTAAATAGTTTGTCTTAAATCTAATGATTTTAAGTCATATACCAACAAAGTTAAAAAATTATTGCACTTCCAATGCAATTTAATTGATTGTAATAAATTATTATTCTATTTTTCAGATTGTCATTGGTGGCGAAGCCACATGGTTACAAGGGTGGTCAACTTACCACCTTATGTCGGAAAATTGTACTGTATATATAGGTAAAATATTATATTTTACAGGTACATAACACATATTGAACACCTTTTGTCGGGAACTTTTTTTCACTTATTTCAAATTTGAATACCCTCGGAAAAATTTCTAATTTCGCCACTGATTGTCATATTACATTTATTATGAACAATTACGTGTTATAGGTAAACTTTAACTTAAACTCTTAATCTATTTTTACGTGGTTGAAGAAGAACTGTTCAGTTAAACTAAAAAAGATGCGATTTTTCCAACGAAGCAGTTTAGTTCATCAATATACGCATTGGCGATATTAGTTAGGCAACTTATTTTTTTCCTTTGTTTTAGCAGTCATTTCACTTTTATTCTCATAGAAATAGCTAATTGGCGGACTCTCCAAATCCCAACTCAAATATTACATTAACTTTGTTTTCCCCTCCTTATTGTTCAATGTCTCTGTCATTTTATGTACTTTTTTTCCTATATATTTTCCCAATAGTGAGTTGAGTTAAAGAAAAACAGTCCCATAAGCAAAGTTTCTGTGTTTGAAAAAATGACTAGTATTACTGGTACTTGTTCTTCTGCTTTAATTTTGAAGCAGAGAGAATCAGGAACTTATTTGTTTCAATACAATGGGCTTAGAGCAATTGAAAGTATGCAAATGCCAGTGGAGTCTAATTCCTGGAAACCAAAAGGTACAGTAATTTTTTTTTCTATCCAGTTCTTGATTTGCCTGTATAAAAAATGAAACAAGAATATTTCTTGGCTTTGAATGTCCTTTTATTTATCCTTGCTATTTTTCTAAGAGTTTAAGTTATATGTACTGGATACACTAATAGTATAAAAATATATACAACTAGGTTATGTATAAGTAGTGGAGGAGCCACTGTTTTTAAGGGTATCAACAGTGGCGAAACCAGGATTTTCATTAACGGATGTCAAAATATATAAAAGTAAACATATGAAAAATCAAGGGAAGTTAAAATATATATATATATAAAATTTACCTACCTACATATTGCATTTTTCCCGTGTTCTTGCTATAAGGTGGCTCTGCCATTGGGCGTCAATATCGCCGGAAAATTACATTGTGTAGATAAGTAATTTGTTGAATATATATATATATATATATATATATATATATATGTGTGTGTGTGTGTGTGTGTGTGTGTGTTAAATTCTCGACTTCGTGTGTATTTACGCCTTTATATTTTGACTTTGTTTAGTGAAAATTCTGGCTCCGTCACTACGTATAAGTTTTCTCTATGATACGCATTAATTGATAGTGTAAAAAATCTTTGAAGTGTCGATGTATATAATTTAAATCCTTCTTTAATTATATCTTGCTCCATAAGTTTTAGATGGTATTGCTATTTCCAATTTAAAATGTTGTGTTCTTTAAACATAGGCTTTGATGAGATGCTTAGCAAGTTAGCATTCAAGAAATCAGGAAATGGGAATGAATTTACAGCAGTTTCCGTTACATGGCATATGACATAGTTTAATGATTTATTGAGCTTCTATGGGATTACACTGGTTTTGTTGTTGTTGTTGTTGTTGTTGTTGAGCTTCTGTCCATTTTCCTTTTCCCTAGGTGTCTGGCACTATGATTTGAACTTCACAACTGTTGCAAGTTCATGTTTACTTAAGCTACATTATCAGCATGATCTTCTTATTAATGTGTATTTACTAGTTACAACTTACAAACTTTTGTTCTCAATGATGTATCAATTGAGTCGACCTTTTTGATCTTAAGTGTTCACGCTCTTAAATTTTTGTTACAGCGTTTCGAAAATTCTAAGAGCATGAACACTTACTTCTTATAGCGCTCTACATTATCAGCATTTCGAAAATTCTAATCCAATGAAATTCTTTAAAGCAGCTGTAAAATGTGGAAGAATCAAGGCCATGGCTTCAGCTCCCAAAAGAGAAAAGGACCCAAAGAAAAGGATTGTCATAAGTGGAATGGGCCTTGTTTCAGTCTTTGGAAGTGATATCGACAATTTCTATAATAAACTTCTCGAGGGACAGAGTGGAATCACTTTGATCGACAGATTTGATGCCTCAAATTACTCTGTTAGGTTTGCAGGACAGATTCGTGATTTCTCATCCGTAGGCTACATAGACGGGAAGAATGATCGTCGTCTAGATGATTGTTGGAGGTATTGTCTCGTTGCTGGCAAGAAAGCCCTTAATGATGCCAATCTTGGTCAAGAAGTTCTTGAAACTGTGAGTCTCAATTGCTTCAAACTTTAAGTTAGAAATAGGTGTAAGCATCCAGAGGCGGAGACAGAATTTCAACTTTATGGGATCTAAATTCTAGAATAGCGACATCAGGTTTTAGTAACTAGGTTCTAAATTTAAATTTTTTACATATTTGGTGAATTTTTTAATATAAATACGGAGTTGGAGTAAAGCTACTAGGTTCTGCCGAACCCGTATCGACTTCTAGCTCCTCTCCTATAAGCGTCCGCATGTAAGAAGAATATAATCTCTTATACAACGGAGGAAACATAAATTTGTATTAGGGGATTCAAAGATATACTACAAAGTCATATCTAGGATTTGAACATGTGACATGAAGTAATTTTTGAACCCCCTTTGCCTCTACACTAAAATCTTCCTTTATGTCAAGGGGATTCAACGGTTAATATATAACCAAATACTTTTGGTTTTGGCCTATTTGTACAGTAGTATAATTTTCCGACGAAGGCTAAACCTAATTCCACTTCTGCTCTTACATTTGTGTATTGCAGATGGACAAAACAAGAATCGGTGTCTTAGTTGGGACCGGGATGGGAGGATTAACAGCTTTCAGCAGTGGAGTGGAATCCTTAGTTCAGAAAGGATACAAGAAAATCAGTCCATTTTTCATCCCTTACTCTATCACCAATATGGGATCAGCATTGTTAGCTATAGATACAGGACTAATGGGACCTAATTACTCCATTTCAACGGCTTGTGCAACCGCAAACTACTGCTTCTATGCGGCTGCAAATCACATTAGAAGGGGTGAAGCAGATATTATGGTAGCAGGTGGGACGGAAGCTGCAATCATGCCTACTGGTGTTGGCGGCTTCATAGCTTGTCGTGCCTTATCTCAAAGAAATGACGAACCACACAAGGCGTCAAGGCCGTGGGACAAGAATCGTGATGGTTTTGTCATGGGCGAAGGTTCTGGTGTCCTGGTACACAAACTCGGCCACATTCTTCCTTTTGATAAATTGATTTTATTAGCAAAAGAAATCACTTAACTCCCCCAAAATTGTCGTGGTTTTGAGAGAGCTCCTCTTTGTAACTTGATGGAATTAACTCATGAATTTGAACAGGTAATGGAAAGTCTGGAGCACGCGTTGAAAAGAGGTGCTAATATTATAGCAGAATACTTGGGAGGTGCTGTCACTTGTGATGCTCATCACATGACTGATCCTCGTTCCGATGGGCTTGGGGTTTCATCTTGCATAACCAAAAGTTTGGAAGATTCGGGCGTTTCCCTTGAAGAGGTAAGATTGCGCTTATGCTTTCTTTTCGAGAAACATCCTGCACTTTGCTCCATCTTATATATGTTCTGTACTATTTGAAAGCTGATATGCAGAATGTTAAATACTTCCTCAAATAGGTGAATTACATTAATGCACATGCAACATCAACCCTTGCTGGAGATTTGGCAGAGGTCAATGCGATCAAGAAAGTCTTTAAGGATACTTCAGAGATTAAGATGAACGGAACAAAGGTGAGAATATTCGTCTTCCAAATAATAACAACTCACATTGGTCGAACAATCTTTCAAATAGATGCTTTTTCGAGCAAAATAACTTGATCGTTATTACAAACAAGGATGGGACTACTGTCACTGCCCCTTGCATGTCCTAATACCACTACAAGAAAAGAAATAGCTCTTTTCTATGTGGAGTATGTATGAAATTGATAGCGTTTCGTGCAAGCTAAATCTTTTAATTGATAATTAGGAAGATGCAACTTTCTCCAAGAACGAAAAGTTTTTTTTATATTAATACCTTTAGTTTGATCAGTATCTGTCTTAATTAGACCATTTGTCTAGTAGTTTTTTCCCCCGGCAAATTGCTCAAGGCCTCTTTTTTTCGAGACTATCTAAGAATTTCAATGTTTGGATCAAGGTTTCAACCTGTAAAGCTTATCCGATTTATTTTAAAAATATATATATCTCGAGTAAATCATGAATTTTCTAGGATATTATAAGGAAATCCGGCTTAATTTATTTCCTTATTTTTTATGATTAACATTGCTAGGCCATCCACTATCGCTCATTTAGCATATAGCTCATATGTGCTTAAGCTCACTCTCATCAAATTAAACGTGATCCGTCTGTGTAAAAATACTACATATAGCAGTGGCTACATAACTTAATGATGTTTAATTTGTTTACCTTTGTTGTTCAGTCAATGATTGGGCATGGACTCGGGGCTGCTGGTGGACTAGAAGCGATTGCAACGATCAAAGCAATAACAACAGGGTGGCTACATCCAACTATTAACCAATATGTAACTACTGACCAACTCTGTTCCTCTATTTATACATTATCCTGCAGTTCAATCGCCGTTCTAAGCTCTAATTTCTTCACTTTTGCACGTAGGATTTGGAACCTCAGGTTACAATTGACACTGTACCGAATGTGAAGAAACAACATGAAGTGAATGTTGGTATGTATTTTTATCCTTCGGCACAAATCTCCTTTTAAAAGTTGGTTAATGAGAGAGTATTTTTGCCTCAAAATAGAGAAGATAAATAAAAAAAGGGTTCGGGGAAGGGATGTAGACATCCTAGCTATCCTAATGCAAGTATTAGTGGCGGCTTCTATGGCTCGAACAGCCTCATCTAAAAGGCAGTCTGGTGCATAAAGCATCCCGCATTCACACAGGATCCAGGGAAGGGCCGCACCGTTAATGCAAGTATTAGTGGCGCTTCTATGGCTCGAACAGCCTCATCTAAAAGGCAGTCCAGTACACAAAGCATCCGAAATTCCCGCAGGATCCGGGGAAGGGCCGCACCCTAAGGGGTGTGATATAGACAGCCTACCCTAATGCAAGCATTAGTGGCGGCTTCTATGGCTCGAACAACCTCATCTAATATTTCTTATTTTCTCCCCTTCTTTTTGCAGGTATTTCCAACTCATTTGGATTTGGAGGTCATAATTCAGTGGTTGTTTTCGCGCCTTACAACCCTTAAACAAAGTTATAGACTTTTTTTCATGGTTATATAGAGGCTTATATTGGGAAAACTCACAATTTCCCGGCTATGGTTAATTAGTTCTTTCTCTATTTTTATTCAAAATCTATGTTATGAGATCATATTGTTTGAAGCTTTGAGCTTTTGATGAATCATGTTTTTCAGTTTTATTTTTTGTGTGTTTAAATTTCTAAGGTAATAAAGAAGTAATCATAATCCTAATGACTGTAAGAGTATGATTCATGTAGTGCAAGTTTACAATTTTTACAGCTCGAAACTGATCTCATTGCTTTAAACTCGAACTATATATATATATATATATTAATCATATGCGCAAAAAATTATTTAAAATATTTTTAAAATTGCAAAAATATGTTAATTGTAGGTCGCCAGTGTAACCAACGACCTAATTTTCCTTTTTATTTATTTATTTATTTGGGCGGCTTGTTTTTTAGACTGTAGGTCGCCTGTGGAATTGGCGACTTAATTTCCTTTTTTTGAATTATTTATTAAATTGCAGATTTTTTTTACTGTAGGCCGCTTATGTCTCTATTTTTGTTAATTGATTTTTTTTTTAACTGTAAGTCGCCTTAAATTGTTTTCCTATATGCATCATACATATATATGTGAACAAAAAATTACTAAAATTTTAATAAATATTATATTCTAAATTCATAATTTTAAATGCATGTGTTTGGATTAAGCCTTTAACTACTAAGATGTTCCACCCAAAACACAAGAAAATTAATATTGAAACGTCAATTTGACTAATATTTGAAGTTAAATTATATTAAATGAATTTAATATTTGAAAATTTAATTTTAAATATTCAACTGACTCATTGCTTTAGACTAGAAAGATGTATACATATAAGCAAAATATTATATAAAATGTATACATCTAATAATACCTCTAGATTGATTAGCCCATGTTCAACCACTTGTTTTTATATTGCAGAATTTTTTTAATGTAGGTCGCCCATGTACCTTTTTTTTAATTTATTAAATTGCAGATTGTTTTAACTTTATCCTAGAAAGTTACATGAAACTACAATAGCATCACGATAACGAAGAAGAGTATTGCAGATAAAAATAGAAACAGAGAATTTTTATTGATTTGGGATGATTACAATGGAATAGAATCCCTCTAATTATAGGGAAAAAGTGGCTTAGTCATCAAGTAACAAACCCTAAAATCTCTCTAAAATATAGACATTCACCATAAATAAAATACTACTCCCTCCGTTTCAGTTTATGTGAACCTATTTCCTTTTTGGTATGTTCCAAAAAGAATGACCCCTTTCTAAATTTGAAAATAATTTAGCTTAAACTTACAATTCTACCCTTAATGAGAAGCTTTTATAACCACACAAATACTATGAGCTCCTTTTTGACTTATTTAGGATCACAAATTTCAAAAGTATTCATTTTTTCTTAAATTACGTGCACAGTCAAACAAGTTCACATAAATCGGAACGGAAGGAGTATTTATAACACTCCCCCTTGAATGTCTATTCACCAAATAATGTGCCTCATTAAAACCTTAACTAAAATAAAACCCAGTGAAAAATAAATCTAGTGAAGGAAAAAAAGTACACATATCTAACAATACGCCTTTTGGTTGCCGCGTTAAAAACCTTGCAAGGAAAATCCAGTGGAACAAAACCTTATAAGAAAAAAAAAGTACAATCAATTCACATTTTTGAGCCTTTGTATTTCAATCTTGTGCAGCATCTTCAAAATATCGTTGGTAGAGATTTGATAAACAAATCGGCCATATTAACTTGAATGAAAATGTTGCACCTTGAAATCATAATTCTTGATATATATATATATATATATATATATATATATATTCATATAATGCCGTGGAATGACCTTTTCAATATCACTATAGAGATTCTCGCTATCATATTATCATGATTATAGTTATAGCAAGATACATATGTGCACAAATTGCACTTAGGATGTAGTACTTCATGACCAAGAATTCTATATGCTTTAAGCAATTTAAATCTTTGAGGGGGTGTCATATAAGTTAAGTCATATAAGCCATATGAATGGACTTTAGATGCATATCATATTTTCATGTCATGCTAGACATATAAGATAGTTAAAAGTAATTGCATACTCTGTTGACTTTATACTTTTAAGTGTTTGACTTGTAGGTCCAAAACTTCATGTCTTTCATATGGAATAAATTTTACTTGAATTATTTCTCCAGACTTAAGATCCTCATATATATTTAGCGTTATCATAAATGTAGTCGACGAACATTTTATATCGATTCCAACCTCATTCTTTCATAAAGACATAACATAGAGATCTCTTCATTCATATTTTTAGGTACCTGGACCTCTCCTGAGATTTTATGAAATGTTATGTCATGTGATCTTCTAGATCACTTGCCTCCTTATTATGATCATTTGCTCATCCTCTTTATCAAGAATTTTATTTGAAACCGATTTGTCTATACGCTTTAAGCATACCATAGACTTTGTCCTTCAGCAACAATAACATACCCAGTATTATCTCACACCGTGGGGTCTGGGGAGGGTAGTGTGTACGCAGACCTTACCCATACCTTGTGATAATAGATAGGTTGTTTCCAATAGACCCCCGGCTTAGGAGACTTTGTCCTTCTGGGACTTATTCTAATGGGAGCATTTGTAGTGGGAATATAGTTACTTTCTTTGGGTTAGCAAATGCATATGGCATGCTTTGCAACATATTGCAGATGAATTATGTTTTTATGCACTTTAAACTCATATTATCTTATTCGAGGATCTAGATGTACAAATGATAATTCATTCCGTAACTTTTTCTCAACTGTCTATCATGTCCCCCTCCCCCCTCATGTTAGAAAAACTAACTTGCTTCATCAATTTTTTGTGTTATGGTGTTAATCAAAATATACACCGCATATCAATAATAATAAGATGGAATTATTTGGTTCATGATCCTGAACCATTTGTGAGGGGAGAATATAATATACTTTCGTATATAAGGTATATCAAACTCATACAGATAACTTTGTTCTCATGAGCAGTAGTTTAGCTATTAAGTAGAGGCACTCAATAAATTATTTTGCTAAACCAGTTGTGATGTAAACCAACTTATCGAGATAAACTGTCTTGAATAGAAAATATGAAAATTATGCTCGAAATTAAATTATTGAACAAGTTAACTCGCAAATATTAGGTTGAGGGTTAATAATAAGAGCACATGTAACCATCTCATAGATGCATCTTATGTGGTATATATGGCAGGTAAATGGGCCCATATTCACCTTTGATATTTCCAGCATTCATGGGATTCAATCCCAATTTTAGTTGGTCTATTAATTAATGAGAACAAACAACATAAGAGAATTCGTAAAGAACTTTCTAGTTCTTTAATATTTACACATGTGAATTCTCTTTTATTTTTCACATCATACTGAAATTGATATGGCTAAACTAGTTGTGCTAACTGGATAAATTATCAATATTGATAAACTTCAGGTTTACACCATGACGTGTACAATTATCAATAAACTCCAAGTTTATTATGATATAGGTCCTTATATCAATAAACTTCTACTTTATTGTTGCATACTCTAATATGTGGTAGTACAAACTAGAGAATAAAGCGAGTAACTTTTCACATACATATTATTCCACTACAAGTTATAGTAATAGAAGATATTAAATCTTTCCTTTATTTATAGTCTCAATATAACCAACCGCTTTCGCGAATACTTTAGAAACTAAATAAGTTTCTTTGAGACTTACTACGATACAATACCTTATTGATAATCAATTTTATTTCTCCAAAATAGTATAATTGGCTCTTCTGGAGCTCTCAATTTAAATTTTGTACTACCACATATTCATCAACATCCATATGGTGAATATCTCTTTTAAAGAAAAAGTTATACCATTATGGTCATGGTCAAAATTGTATGCAAGATATGTTTCTTACATTACTATTGTCCTTTAATAATCACATTACCAAAATATTTTGGCATACAATAGGTACGTGACCAATGACCATTCATGCCATAATAATGACATTATTTTTTTTATTTCATCTCAAACCTCCTTCTAAAAGTGAGCGTGGTATATTCACTACCATTATCACGTTCATATTCTTTCAAGAATGAATATGTATTCATGAATCACATGTTATCACATTCACATCATGAATGGACCATAATCATTTATATGTGCTTTACAAATATCATGTCAAATCCATGACAAACATTACTTTCACAGAGTGAAGGATTGTTTTGAGAATTCCTATTATTCTCATTACCATAATGATGACGATTATAATTCCGTTTATTGCCACGTCCACATCCATTGTTACCTTCACGGTAATAATTTTATTTTCTTTTAGACTTATTATATATTTCTACCATATTCTCTTAAGGGAATGAGAATGAAGCAAATTCAATGGGATGGTTTTCCACTTCTTATGCTCATAATCATACATGAAGTTGATCATCGCAAGATATAGAAATTTTACCACTTTAGGTAGTTATAATTTCTCATAAACTCTATTAGAGTTATAATCAAAATTTATTATCTTTGCTTGTATTTAAAATTAAATTATAGAATTTCAAGAATATAAAAGAGAAAAATAAGGTAAAATACTTACCTTAAATCCAGAATTTATTTGTGAATGATGTTCATGGATCAATTGACAATCATTATGCTTAATATTATGTATAAGTTGAGCACCAAACATATATTCCAGAGCCTCTACTCAATTGGTTGGAGTCTCGTGCTGATAATGTATTGTAAAATAATAAAAGACGAAGAAAAGTATTGCAGAGAAAAGTAGAGAGAGAGAGAGAGAGAGAGAGAGAGAGAGAGAGAGAGAGAGAGAGAGAGAGAGAGAGAGAGAGAGAATTCTTATTTATTTGGGATGATTACAATGGAATAGAACCCCTCTATTTATAGGAAAAAAGTGACTTAGCCACCAAATAACAAATCATAAAATCTCTCTAAAATATAAACATTCACCATAAATAAAATATTATTTACAACAATAAGATTATTTTCTTAGACAACAAACGTAATTGATAAACTTTCTTTTCATGATTATTTTTATATTTAAGGTAATTCCAATTAATTCCCGTTCCTCATCCAACTTGACACCCTCTTTTTAATGACGGAGCCAGAATTTTCACTAAGTGCAAAATATAAAGAAATAAACACATGAAACCTTAATTCAATATCTACTATATAGGGGAGTATAAATCAGTTCTTTTACAAGTAATCAGTATTGTCTCTGCCATACCTTCGCCAAACCATCATGTCTCCTCTCTCTTCGTTACCCCAAAACCCCAATCTGTCGCACCCCTTCCCTCCATTGTCTGTTGGTGACCACACCGGGGGTCGCCTCACTCTTCTTATTAATCCTACATAACAGATTCCAACAACAACCAGTTATGCCACGACAATCGGAGGACACACAGTTGGTGGAACAAAAAATTGATTCGACTGGAACCTATGCCTTATGAATTTGTGGATGGTAAGGCTAGGGTGGTGGTGTTCACCAATGAAGAAGACAAATTGCTTGCAGAAAAGATCCGTCTCACGATAGTTGGAAGATTTCTACGAACTCTCCCCCAAATTGATAAACTCAGAGATGAGTTCAAGCGGCTTGTGCCGCTAAAAGGATTTTTCAAAATTGGTGTCAAGAACTGGAGACACGTGTTTATTGATTTCACTGATGAGGAAGACTTTAAGAGATTCTATGGAAGGAGATCAATGCAAATTTGTGGCATGCTAATGCGAGTAGGACGTTGGACTCGGGACTTCAAGACTGATTCAGAATCTACATTGATGCTGGTATGGTGACGTTACCATACCTCTCATGGCAGTACCACGACTAGCCAGCATTGGAGAGGATACTAGATCCTATTAGCACGTTGATTGCACTGTACAAGGCTACAATTGCTCGCACAAGACCTACAACAGCTAAGGCGAGAATTGAAATTGATCTGACACGTCCAAGGCTCAACGAAGTAGAGGCCGCGTTGACTTATAGTTCGGGCGAGATGCACATTTTCACTCAAGTGGTGGAATACAAACAAGTACCGAATTTTTACTTCTTTTGCAAAATGCAAGGTCATTTAGATACATAATGTGAAATACAACAAAATAAGGACTTGCCTAAAGGACCAGTGAGAGAAGGAAAAATGAAAAAGAAGGTCCAAGAGGAGAATCAACATAAAGAAGAATGGGTGGAGGTTACAAACTCCAAAAAGAATTATTCTGCAAAGAATAGAAGAATTAATCAGGGGAAACAAGGGGAAAGGCATACAGATAATACCCCTTTGAAGCTCACTAATGGTTTCAGTCCAATGGAGGTTATTGAAGATGAGAAATTAGTAGACAAAGAAGATTCACATATGCAAGGCAATTAGGAAATAGAGGAGTTAGTACTGTCAGTGGGAAAGGAACAACCAGATAAGCCAGTACCAACTGGATACGAACCAGTGCCACTACCGAAAAGTTTTAACACTGTGGAGTTGTCACAGAAAAGCCATAACAAAGCCAAGAAGAATAAAAATAAGAAATCAAAGATAGGTACATTAAAGAAATCGAAGAAGGGAAAAAAGAAAAAGAGAGTTGAAGCACCTGAACAACTTGAAGAATAAATGCGCACCACAGGTCATGAACTAGCTATTGTCTCTAAGGAGCAGTCCAAAAAGTTAGCCTCCAAAAAGAGATAAAAGTTCAAGTCTAAGGCCACGTTGCAAGGGCTCGCTAAAACTAATCTGCCAGAGCCAATTGATGGGAGCTTAAATTTTCCAGAATTGACTCTAGAGAAAGAAGACTCTCCAGATGAAAACCAGAAATCTAAGTTGAACACAGAAATAGAGATTGTGGTTCAAGCGGGGACTCTGGGAATGTACACTAAGCTGGGAATTGTAGAGAGCGGAAGTAATAGGGCACAAAGCATAATGTTCAATCATGCACAATGGAGGATTCAGGGAACCTAGATGAAGAGATGCTACAGTTACAAGACGTAGAAGTTGAGGTCAGATTAGATGATGAGTTCGCTCAAAGACCTCATAGAACACTGGATTTTAATAAAGTAGATTCTTCACAGAGTATACAAGATAAGATAGCAAAGTTTAACCATTTATCTCCCAGAGGAGTACAAGGTGATGTAGGTGCTAATGCTTCATGGCTCCAAGCAAAGGCACAAAAGACAAACAAAAAAATAACAAAGAACCTTGCCCCTGATTATTTCTCATGATTAGTACAATATCATGGAATATAAGGGGCATCGGAAAGGTTAAAAACTCTCAAATTACAATAGAACCTCACTTTTATTGCATTACAAGAACCAATGACAAAAGCTACTAAGATAAGGAGATTCCAGAATCAGTTGGGGTACATAATAGTTACTTTAATTGTAACAACAAGATATGGCTCTTTTGGACAGACGATCATGTGGTTAACATATTGGAAGATACTGAACAACAGGTGACCGTTTCAATCAGCCATCATATGGGCTCTACACCATTTCATTTGACAGCCATGTATGCAAAATGCAAGGCCTATTTGAGACAACAACTCTGGACAAAATTCAGAGAAATAGCGGACATAATACAGGGATCATGGGGAGTGGTTGGTGACTTCAACGTGATCACTAACTCTATAAAGAAGAAAGGTGGTAGGCCTTACATAGTATAAAAAAGTATTGACTTCTTAGCTTGCATTGATGATTTTGGTTTACAAAACGTAGGGTATTATGGAGCAATGTACACATGGAGTGACAATAGAGGAGCCCCTAAAACTATATGGAAGAGGCTTGACAGGCTTCTAATTAATATGGAATGGTTGGATGAATTCTCAAAAACTACTGTGGAGCATCTAGCTAGAGTTTGTTAAGACCATGCATCTCTATAGATCAATATGAAGAAAGCTTAGTTCCCAGGCCCAAATACTTTAAATTTCTCGACTTCTGGACTAAACATGATGAGTTTCTAGCAGTGGTGCAAGAGGAATGGCATGAACCAATACAAGGTAATGCTCTATGGATACTACACCAAAAATTGAAGAAGATTACTAAACGGTTGAGTGCTTGGTCGAGACAGGCATTTGGTGACATTTATGAAGAACCAAAGAGGCTGGAGAAACAGATAAATGAATTGGAAGCAATGCACGTAGCTGATACCACACCTGCTCACAGAGTAGAATTGAATGAAGCAAAGGCTAAGTATATCCAGTATCTAAAGACTCAGGAAGAAGTACTGCGACAGGAAACAAAGGCACAATGGCTTAATGAAGGGGACAAAAATACATCATATTTTCATAGTGTCATAAAAGAAAGAAGGAAAATATTATGCATACAGAAGATACAAGATGATGAGGGACAATGGAGGGAAGGTGATAAGAAAATTGCAGAAGCGGCCATAAGTCATTTTCACAAGATTTTTAATCATGGTGAGGCTTCAAATGACTTCTCTGCACTAGAATATGTGTTACTTCAAAACTAACAAAAGAAGATAATGAGGTGCTCATGGCCATCCTCACAATAGAGGAAACCAAAGAGAGTGTCTTTTTCATAGATCCCACTAGTGCACCAGACCCGATGGACTAAATGCCCTATTATTTTTAGAAGTGTTGGCCAATAATTGTGGAGGACATACACAATGCTGTGTTGTCTTTCTTCAATGGTGCAAACATCCCCAGATTCTTTTCACATACTTGCTTAGTCATGTTACCCAAGGTTGATTTTTCACAGAAGCTGTCCGACCTTAGACCAATCAGCTTATGTAATGTGACAAGTAAAATAATATCAAAGATTTTGAATGCCAAACTTGTTCAAGTGCTGCCAAAAATAATATCTACAAACTAGTTGGGCTTCATTAGAGGAAGATCGATATCATAGAATATTATGCTGGCTCAAGAAATCATAAATAGCATGCAGGACTCTCAAAAATGAGGCAATGTAGTCATAAAGCTTGATATGGCCAAGGCATATGATAGAATTGCTTGGCCATTTTTGTACCAGATGATGAGGAAGTTAGGATTCTCATAGGAATGGGTTGAATTAATTCACAGACACATTTCATGTAATTGGTACTCAATTATCGTGAATGGTCAAAGACATATTTTTTCAAGTCATGGAATGGATTAAGACAGGGAGATACAATATCCCCCTCGCTATTTGTTACAGGTGTTGAACTTCAGTCAATATTATTGAATAAGCTGCATGAAAATAGAGAGTTCACTGGTTTCTCGATAAATAAAAGGGGACCTCAAATTAACTACTTAGCTTTTTCTGATGACATCATTCTCTTTTCTAGTAGTAGAAAGAGAACTATCAAGCTGGTGATGAATACTTTGGCAGTCTATGAAGATATCTCTGGTCAACTGATAAACAAGACTAAGATTTAATTCTTACTAGCTCCAGATGCTTTAGGGAGGAAGGGTATTATATTGGCCAGATGGACTAGAATGAAGCAGCAAAAGTTTCCAATTAAATACCTTGGTTGTCCGTTATTTGTGGGTAGGCAAAAAATCGTGTATTACTAAAAATGATCAGTAAGGAAACTAGCAGGATTAGAGGCTGGCACTCCAACTAGTTCAGATTGAGAAGTTGTTAGCAAAATTCTTTTGGAGCTCCGCAGATGGGTCAGATAGACATCATTGGATTGCTTGGTCTAAGTTATGTTATCCGTATGAAGAAGGGGGGAGACTTCAGAAGGCTACATGATACGTGCAAAGCTTTTTCTGCCAAAACATGGTGGAAACTAAGAACTGTGGATTCTTTATGGAAGGAGTTTATGTTGGCCAAATACTGCATCAGACACCATCCAGCGATAAAGAAAGTAGGTAAAGGGGCATCACATAGCTGGAAGAAATTATGAAAAATAAAAGATAAAGTGGAAGAGAACCTGGTATGGTTAGTCGGGAAAGGTGAGATTTCATTTTGTATGATAATTGGACAGCAGAGGGACCACTATGTAGTCATCTGGATGAAGGGGTGAGACCTAAAGATATCAGGTTGAAGGAAGTACTCATTAATGGTGGCTAGCATGAAGGAACTACCAGGACTCTATGGCCAAACTCACTCAGAAATGTACTGCAAAATATTGTAGTTGAGTTGGACACCGAAAAGCCCGACAGACCAATATGGACACCTGCTCGTAGAGGACAATTCTCAGTATCATCAGCCGGGGAAATATTTAGACAGAGAAGAAGCATATTTGCGACAGACACAAGGATATGGCATAAGTCAGTCCCTTTCAAGATGGCCTTTCTCACTTGGCGAGCAGTACATAATCGATTACCTACGGATAATAGGGTCTCGATGATTGGGATTGTGTTAATTCCTAAGTGCTACTGCTGTAGGACACCATCACCTGAGACCATAGAGCATTTATTTTGCTCAGGCACATTTGCATTAACAATCTGGTCTATTTTTTGTGCACCTTTTGGCATTAATTGCAGGAACACTCAACTGATACAGCTACTATATTCGTGGTGGAGCCTAAGACCTATGAATACAGTAGCATCGTTCATTACCAAGGTGCTGCTACAAATCATAATATGGGAATTATGGAGGTCCAAATGTGCCAGCAAATATGGAGCAGAGCTCCCTTCTATCCAAAGATCTGTAGTGTTGATTAGTTCCAATCTTTCCGGCATAGTAAAGCAAAGGTTTGGACAACTGCAGATGGAGTCAACATGGGAAAAGTTGCAAGATATCATTGATCAACCAATTAACTTCAGAATAGTTAAGATACACTACAAAAAAAATGACTTCAGCGACGGACTAATTTCATAGCTAAATAGTATATTTCTGTCGCTAAACAGGTTTAGCAACGGATTAGCGATGGATTTATGTCCGTCGCTAATATGCTCGTAGCTAACCCCTTAGTAACAAAAATTTTGAATCTATTGGTAAGTTAGCGATGAATTAGCTACGGTTTGTATCTGTAGCTACAGTTAGCGACAACACATATCCGTCGCAATTCTCATCAATTCTGTCACCATATCTACAAGTCATTTCGTCATCAGATTTAATTGGCGACCAATATTTTTCGACGCTAATCCATCGCTCATATTATTGAGACATTTTTGCCTTTCTTTTGGCGACGAAATTCTTTTGTCGCAAATTTGTCGCAGCATGTTATTCTATATTAGTTATAGCTACAAAGAAATTCGTCACAAATTATATTTTTCTTATTTTACATAATAAAATAGATATTGTTCAAGCATATAGAAGATACTTAATAAAAACTAAAATTCATAGAAATTAATATTCTACAAGATCCAAAATAGATACCTAAATGCAAATGTATAATTATGTTTAAAACATCTACAATACTAAAATAAAGTTCAAACAGAGACTAGAGAGTGAAGGTCATCATCAGAAAGCGATGCATGAACCTCGTTAATACCAAAACATCTACAATACCAAAGTTCAAATAAAAAAAGTTAACTACTGAGAGACTGGAGTGAAGGTCATCATCAGAAAGCGATGCATGAACCTCGTTAATATTAGTAGGATGAGGAGAAATTGAAGGTGCCACAACTGATGGGTGATCGGTAAGATTATCTGGCATATGTGAGGGTGAAGAAATCAATCCTATTACTCGATCAGCCAACACAGGAAGCATGTGATCAGTCAATACATGAACCATATGATCAGTCAATGCAGGAATCAATCGAATCACTAACTCATCCAAATTTGCCATTGATGCTGACTGAGCATTCAGAGGTGGTGTTGATGATGAAGCATCAAATCCAGAAGAGGCACGAAGATTCGGCCCATAGAAATTGTCATGACCCAAAATCTCACCACAGGCGTCGTGATGGAACCTAGTCTCTAAGACTAGGTAAGCCGATTACAATTACCTTTTGAAGCCATTTTTTTTAGTTGAATAAGTAATCAAAGCTAACAGCGGAACAAATAATTACGATATACAACCTCCCAAGACTGGTAGTACTAAGTCACGAACTCTAACTGAATACATGGAATGATCACGAAGACCGAATATACAATACTGTTTGATTACAAATTAACAGTAAATGAAATGAAAAGACTCCAAAGGACTGCGACTGCCAAGCAGCTCTACCTTGAATCTTTACGATCGCGCTTTAACTCGCTCAAGTCTGATATCTCCAATACCTGGCTCTGCATAAAAATGTGCAGAAGTGTAGAGTGAGCACACCACAGCGGTGCCCAGTAAGTATCAAGACTAACCTCAATAGAGTAGAGACGAGGTACAGTCAAGACACTCACTAGTCTAATACCCTGTGCAATATAGCAGTATACAATAGTATTAAAAAATAACTAGCAATGATAACAACAACTCAATCAGTGATATAACAACAAGACAACAAGAACATCATAATTATTGCTCAAGCGAATAAGGAACACAAGTACAATCAATNNACAAGAATGTCATAATTATTGCTCGGGCGAATAAGGAACACAAGTACAATCAATAAGTCAAGTCCTTCAAATATAAATCCTTCACATATTATTCTTTAAGATAAATATCTTTCGAATATGCTTCTTTTGAATAATTATCTTTCGAATATACTTATTTCAAATAAATATATTTTCAAGTAAAAGTCACCATGTGACACCTCATTTCAAATCATAAAAATTACGGGTCTCAGCCCACTTTCATATTTTTTACGACACCTCGTGCCCATATTTCTATCACCATCACACGGATAACTCACGTGACAATAATAAAATTATCATATTTTTCCCCGGTACCTCATGCCCATATTATTTTCATAGCTGCACAGACAACTCACGTACCAAAATATCAATGTATATAAGATCAGCAAGATCAATTTATTTTTAATAAAGTTAAGTTAAAATATTTAAATCGAGTAAGAAATCAACAAAAAGATAAATTTATTTTAGAAATCGTTTGAGAGAAGAAAAATGACATTTCCTTTAAAATAAAGCATCAGATAAACTAATGATTTGGATATAAAAATTATTAAATTAAACATACTGAAAAGTTTCTTTTATTTAAAATAACACAATCATCAAAGACAAGTACAACCCAAAAATACAAATCCTCAAACTCTCGTACATAAAAGTCAAGGTCAACACAATGCATCAAGAAATATAAAATACTTAATATTAAGTCAAATAATACATCACGAAAAATACAAGAATGTACAAATTACGGAAAACAAAATAACCAAAGGCCAGTGCAAACATAGTCCCGAAGTAAGTGCTCAACAGGGGATCTCCCGAGGTACCTCGTAGACCCAAAATAAATATGCAACAACAATAATGCCCCTAGGCCATCACAAATCAATTCTCGCCATACGTGCATAATAATATTCCCACCTTGTCTCGTCACACACA